CCCGGAGCATCCTCTGCTCCAGCCCCCCCGACACGCAGCAGCGGGGTCGCGGCCGTGGTCCTCGGAGCACAACATGTTACGTCCTACCTAGGGTTTGTTCCTGCCAAGGTAAATTACTTTGCTCCGGCGGGAGCCTGACTCATCGCTGGGATCAACAGCAACCCCTCTCCCGTGCCAAGGCAGCGCAGATATGGTGTGCCGATAAAGGAACAGAGCGATCCATAAATTAATTCAAATTCGGCATCGCCTTGAACTGTGCTCTGGGCTTTGCCTAAATACACCGTTTTTCTTTCCAAGACTCTCCTGCTAAGAACTGAATATATTTTCATTACAATTAATTACATTTTGCAGTCGCCATCCCCTTTGGAGCTTTAATCTCTTCTTCCAAGCTGCACAGAGACATATGCACGCAACTGAATCAAGGATTCCCTCTGCAGGTCTGCTGACGGGCATCGAGGCGACAGCGCTAAGGAGTGGTGTGGCCCTACATGAGAAGGTGCTGTGCTGAGGGTCCGAGAACAGATGGCACGCTGAAACTCGTGCCATCCCCGCTTTCCTTTCTCTTAAAAGATGTATGAGCAGCGTGAGGCAATTTAAAGAGCCGTCGCCCTGGGGAAGTTTTACACCAGGCACCCAGCTGTACCTACACAGAGGCAGCTGAATTTTTCAGAGCCCCACGGCAGGTCCAGCCCCACGGGTGTCCCTCTGTGCCTTCACCACGGTTCATTTCGTGCTGCTGCTCAGCTTCGAACTGGAAGAATTCTCGAGAAGCGCAATCTTTTGCACCAACAACCCGGTGTCGGTGCCGGAGGCCCTGAGCAAGTTTCATTTAAAAACTGCGTATCGGGGTTTAGTAAAGGAAGACGCAAAGTTCATTTGCACAAGTGCTCCCAGCAGAATCCCACACTACTTTAAATGCCGACACCAAGACGTGGTTCGCACGTGCCTTGTGTGGGTCTGGGAGCAGCAGAGCCCGGGCCAGAGTTTTTTTTCCCAAATGATTTTTTGGTGTCTGTTAAGGACTAAGCTCCAGCTGCAGGTTTTCCTTCGGCAGGAGCACTCCTTGCCCACTCTCCCCATAAAATCCATCAAAACTTGAGGTCTTTCACACTTATCTCTGACACCGGCCTGAAACTGGCTCAAGGATTGACGCGTCATTAGAGGGGTGATGGAGCGAGGACCGACGGGCGCGGGGCAGCGCGGCTGCGGGCTGAAGAGCGCCAGCGTTAGCTGGACGTTGGTGCTGCGCTGCCAAGGTCAGAGTGACGGATGCACAATTAGTGCGGTGGTTAATGGCGCTCAGCATCCGGGGGCGGCGCACCGTACCTCTGCCTGGAACTGCCCGTGGCGGATGGTCTCCCGCTCCAGGCGAACCCAGGGGCGCGCTGGTCTCAAGCCGCTCCACTCGTCCACGATCTTCGCATTCTGAAAGCAAAAGCACGTCGGCACCTGCACAGCATTCCTCCGAATTCATTGCAACGGCCAAATGTCACCCCCAAAAGGGCGCTAAAAGGGAGCTGTGAGATGAGGGGGGACGGAGCCTCCTCCATCCCCGCTGCCGCACCGGCCCCTGGGATGCCGCAAGGGGCGACTGGGTAGAACAATTTCACATCGCAGCCCGCACGTCAGCAGCCTGCAGCAGAGCTGAAGCCCCACGCTGCCTTTCCTGCTCACCCAGGGCACGACGGCAGCGTCAGGAGCGGGTGCAAACCGGCCTCGCCACACGCCAGCCTTCCTCTAACGCAGCAGCGCAGGATGGGGACACACCACGACCAAAGGGTCGGCGCCTCCCAGAGCTTTTTTTAACCAGCTATATGAGTAATCCCTTTTTCCTACAAACCTTGTCGCAAAAGCAATGC